CTTGAATGGAGACAGGGGAAGGAGGAAAAATGAAACAGTTCACTGCCCTTGGAGCGGCGAATGGGTGCGGAGGCCGAAGTCCGCGGGTGGGGGAGCGGCAAACGTACTGAGTACTGGGAGCATGGGTTGAAAGTGAGGAAGACACAGAAAGACTCACTTGAATGAGCCAGTCGATGCAGGCGTCCAATTCGACGAAGCCTCCAACGAAGAATGACAAAGCCTCAAGCTCAGTAGCACCAATGCACGTCAGAGTTCTTGAAGTGTGAGGCAACAAGTTATTAGTTCATGAAGCACGGAAGGAGAGACAGGGAGAGGGGCACCAATTCGTGGGTGGTTGCACGTGGCACGAAACACAAACACCAAGTTCACCTAGCAAGTAGCACGAAGCACCAAGTTCACGTGGCACGTAGCAGAGAGGAGAGAGGAGAGAGAGTTGCACCAATTGGTACTAGCACGTAGCTCGTAAAAAGGACGTCGCGCCAAAGCGCTTAGCACGAGAGAGAAAGAGAGGAGTTGGACAAATTCGAAGCAAGCAGCTCGTAGAATCTTGCACGCGTAGCACGTGGCTCGTAGAATCTTGCACACGTAGCACGTGGCTCCACGCACGAATCAGGAGGGACGAAGCACTAGGCACCAAAACCCGAAGAACATAGCACCAAAGCCCGAAGACGTAGCGGCGGTTCAGGTAGAGAGAGAGAGAGAGAGAGAGAGAGAGAGAGACAGTAGCACCAAAGGTCGAAGCACGAGCGCAAAAAGAGAGAGAGAGAGAGAGAGAAAGAGAGAGAGAGGAGGGGAGAGGGGGAGGTAGGGGCAGGTAGGTCTCGTAGGGTCGGTCACATAGGCAGATCCGTCGTGCAGGTAGGCCGGCTGGTAGGGTACGCCCATCCGCTAGCGCAGGTTCGGTAGCCAACGCTGGTAGGCCGCGGGGGGCAGGCCGGATAGGGGAAGCCCGTCCGGTAGTGCAGGCAGGCCGCTTAGGCAGGTGAATCCCGTAGTCCAGGTGCATGCGTGGGTTTCCTTTCCGCACCCCCCTTCAACGGCCCAGTTGGAATCCAGATGGCCCGCAAGGTTTCCTTTTTTGGGGGGAGAAACCCACGAATACCCGCTACACCCAGTCCCAGCGCCAACCTGCATCTACACCCCGGAACCCGTTCAACTTTGCGGAGTACCCAACTTTTCGCCTGTGCGAAATTGTGGGCGTACCCAGTCCGGCAGGGCCTTTGGTCCAGAGGACGAAATTGTGCTTATGCCCCGAAACCGGGCTGGCAAAATTGTGGGTGTACCCACACCCAGTGGGGGGCCTTGAATGGCACACCATGAAATTATACTCGTGCCCACCAAAGTGTACCGTTGTTGCCCAATGGCGGCCGGGTATGAGCGTAATTTCTGTCATCCGGTGGTCGGGTATATGAATAATTTGACCAGTCCACCTCAGCGCATACTCACACTAGCACGCATTTTCATAAAACCGTAAATTGTAGGTGATTTTTTGGGTCACAAGGGCTACGCGTTTTGGGTTTTCACGCAAATGGGCACCTAAATGTCAGCGGCTTGGACAGCCGCGGGGTTACATATTTTGTGGGAACCTCTGGAGTTCCTCGCAATTGCGTATTTCTTTCAGACCTGTTTCTTTCTGGAAACAAAAAAAGAATCCGGCGTTTGGTTGGCAGCTCTCGTAAGGGAAAAAACAAAAAACAGGAAAAAGGGATGGATTTTTATGCATCGTGGTGCGTGAACCCTCCCGTATAATCGCATTCCTAGAGCATGTCGAGACTGTGTCCTTTCTGTTTTGTGACGTATACGGGTGTGCTGTGTGACTGGGAAGTGCCGTATTGTACGTGCTAGTGTGAGTATGCCCTCAGTCCTGGGTATGCCCATGATTTTGCCTGGGTATGTTAATAATTTGTGCATTCCGGTAGTTGGTTGAATGCACAATTTTGCGATACCAACCCGTTCCTGGGCATGCAAATAATTTCCACCGGCCGTTTTCCGGGTATAGCTGCAAGTTGGCACTGGGACTGGGTATATAGCGGGTAAGCGATTCACTCGGCCTCCGGGTTCGAACTCGGGCCTTCGCAGATGTATGGATCCATCTGGCCTTCAAAACCAAACCACAAAACACAAAAAAGCTTTGAAAAAAAGGCAACAAAAGAAAAGAGAACAACGACGGGGGTGTACCTTGCCATGTTATAGGGGAAGATTGTTCTCAATTTGCACATTCGGTGAGTACTGCAGAGGGGCCCCAAAAGGACTGCAGAGACCGCGCGGTGAAAGGAAAAAAAAGAACTACTCACTTTGGATATTCGAACCCAGTTTCCGAAACGAAAAGGGACCGAAGAGAACTGATGGAATGATGGCTGGGACTGCGCGTAGAGAGCATTAGCGGTGCGTCAGCGATAGCGGCAGTGGCAGCGCCCAATCGCTGCCGTTGAGTGAAGCGCGGCGCCTAACCATGGACTCCAATCTCTCAGCGACGCGCTTACCCTGTCAGGCTCCATAGCTGTGAGAGAGCTATGGGTGGAAACTGGCCGAGCGTAACCTAGCTCTTGAGTGGGCTAGGGAGTGCCTTCGTGCTTCTACACTCGCGCATCCTGGGAGCCCCAACCTACCTGACTGACCCAGTACACCATACCAATTCGACACATCACACATCATATTTCGAAGAACTATCTAAGACTAGCTGGCCTCATTCTCGATACTATACATCTGATAAACCCCCGAGGGGCTAGTGTGTGACGAACCACTTCCCGACCTCGTGCTATCTTTCGTACCCCTTGACCCAATACCCCCTTGGTGTATCATACCAACCCCACAGAACCTTCGTCGCCTTTCTTGATTTCAGGTGCCTTGTTTGGGCCCCCATCTTTCGGAAGTTTTATTGATTCTTGGAATTCTGCTTTTTGTAATTCGGGAAATGCAGGGGAAATTACGCGCGCCTTAGTGAGTGCAATGGGAATCGGACTCGACAGTTAGGAATCACGGAATAAGCGGATCCCGACGAATCTTTTTCCTTGCATGAATGTTCTCGGTCGCGTTGGAGAAAACTTTAGGAATTTTGTGAGAATACGGATAGGCGTAGGAATTTCTTTTCCCGCGTCGCTTTTCGTGCGCGGATATGGTGATTTCAATTT